ATCCCGTATTATTTTCTGTCACACTTGCAATCACTTTTTGTAATACAATTAACAAATAACCAATTGCTCGTTGAAATGCATACATTTAACGAATAAAAAAAAAAAACTTAAGAAAGCGCACATTGTGAATTTTGTTTGGTAAAGAACAGCTAAAAATATAAATTTGGTTTAAAACGATTATCCAAACGGGGTTGTTGCACGAACACTGTCTTAGAAACAAATTACATTTTGTTAAAATTATTAGGTTATTGTAGATATGTAAATTCAATTATAAAATCAATTTTTATGCAATTTCTTAGGATTTTCTTATTTGTTAAGACAAATCTAATGGAATTTGACATGTATAAGTCTGAAACACGTGTTTGTTATACAAATATATAGTTATTTGTCACTTGGGTGTTAGTTTCTGTTTGAGGCTATTGAATTTAGTTACCAAATATGTAATACATATAAACAAGTAAGAAAGTATAGTCGGGCGTGGCCGACCATATGACACCCTACACCAGTTATGAATATTAAATGTGATTTATTTTTCATAATAAAGCATTTATCTTCAATATTCCCTTGTTCCGATACATTTAAGCAATTTATGGATGAAAAACAAATTTTCTGAAAGAGGCTTTATATGGGGGCTAGGGACAAATATGGACCAAGCCCGATAAAATTTTGTGAATATATTTAAATTTACATAATATTTTATTGTGCTGAATTTCATCGCGATATGTGTGTTTATAAGTTAATTTGGGACATTCAAGTAATTTTCTGAAGGGAACTTTGTATGGGAGCTAGGGTCAAATGGGGCCCGATCTTTATGAAATTTGGCAGGGTCATCAAGACTTCTATAAAACTTAGTTGTGCCGTATTTTATCGATATATCTGTATATTTAACATAATTATGAGCTCAGAAGCCGTTTTCGGGTGGTTCTGTTCTATGAGGGCTAGGTGAAATAATGGACCGATTTTAACCATTTTCAGTAGGTCAAATAAAACGTGCGTGCCAAATTTCATCCAATTATCTTGAAAATTACGACCTGTACCTTGCGCACAAGGTTTACATGGACAGCCAGCCAGACGGACGGACATATCTTAATCGACGATTCTAAGCCGATTGGTATACTTTAAGGTGGGTCTAGGACGAATATTTTTGTATGTTACAAACATCACCACAAATCCAATAAACCCTCCCCACTAAAGTGGTGTAGGGTATAAAAATAAGTAAGAATATATGGTCGGGCTTGGCCGTCAGAATGATAAACTAAACCAATGTGTAATATTTTTAATAATAAAGCATTTAACTTGTTATTTGCCTTAATTCCGAAATATTTAAATAATTTCTTGACAAAAAAAATTGATTTTCTAAAAGAGGGGTTTTTGGGGGTAAGGCTAAATATGGGCCTATACTTATAAGTGTTGGTAAAGACGTTACGTTTACATTAAACTTATCGTGATACTATTTTGACTTTCAAGTCCTTTTCTGAAGGGGACTTTGTATGGGTGCTAGGGTCAAATGTAGCTCGATCATTGCGGAAATTGGCGGTATCATTTATACTTATACAAAACTAATCGACTTAGAAAATGATTCTGAACCTATTAGTGTACTGTAGGACGAATATTTTAGGACCAATTATGCACTTACGCACAATACCCTCCCTACTATGGTGGTGTAAGGTATAATAAAATTAACAAATAAGAGAATCATTTTACCATGTTATTTTTGGATAAGGATATTTAATAGGAGCCCGATTCTTATGAATCGGGCTGTTATACTGATTTTTAAAGCCATTTATAAACGTATGGGGGCTAGGGTCAAATTTGTGTTTGCCCAGATTAGAGCATTCCATGTAGCAATGGGTTCCTATGGGTATTTCCTCAAATGTTCCATTTGAACATTAAATTCTATCTGAGATCAGTGCTTTAAAATGCCCTACAAATTCTGTGTCTAGCGTACGATCAGGCACGTCCAATATATGTATATACATATGTGCATATATAGTGGCGTTACTGACTGATTGATTATCGCACAACCTAAAATAACAAATGATATTTGTATTATATATTTTTGGTGATGAAGATCAATTAATTTAAATTTGTAGGGTGTAAGAAACGGGTAAATTCGGTAACAAAAATGTTATACATATCGTTGTATTCATTTCATGAATTTTTGGGAGTAAAAATTGTATTTTGGTACCTTTTTTGTTTTTAACTGGTACTTTTTAAATTGTCTGTAATATTGAACATAGAAACATAAAATTAAACACACATAGTTTTGATTGAATTGCAACCTATAAAAGAGTATAAACATTAAGTATACAAATTCCTGAAATTTGAAATATTACCCTGCAAAAATTATTGGAGCACATGATGCATTTAAGTAATCCATTGTTAAAATAGAAGATCCGTTTAGTAGACCTAAATAATGCAGGCATGGATCATATTTATTTTATTGAAAACAACATGGTTTATAGCCTGCATTAAAAGGGACTATGTTGCGGATCATGCAATCCAATAATTTAAGCAAGCAGTTTTGGGAATATTCCAATATAATACATGGTTGGATTACGTGGTCCTCACTGAATGTATTGTCGTCCGATGTTCAGAAACTCCGTTTCTTGGACGTTATTCCTAAGAGTTTTCTAATTAATGTTCACGAGGGAATACTCCCAAGATATTTAGATCTAATTTCGGCGAAAGCCTGACAATGGCAATGAAACTGCTCCAGAGTTTCACTGTCCTCTCTACATGCTCCATATTCGTCTAAATCCGTACGTTCATTTGTAAAGCCGTATCTGTAATCCTGTGTGTCCACTCAGAATACGTACCATCATACTAACCTCAGACTTGCTCATTTTGAGGAGGCTTCTCGTCCTGCTCTCGTTAGGGTCACCCCATAGAATCTTTGTGGTTTTAGCCACCGTTTCATTATTTTAAGAGGAATAATTCTCTCACCCATATTTTTAATTCAGCCATCGTTGCATCAAATGGTTTCGCGTTCGTTAGGTTAACTACCTCGATCACCCTTCCCTTTAAAGTTATTTCATTCGCTCTACTCCTGAGTGGCCTGGTACCCATATAATGTAAACCCTACCTCTGGGAGAGCATTCAGTTAGAGCTTGTTTACAATCTAGTACGCCCTTACAATTGGGCGCCATATTTCTTCTAATCCAATTTTCACATTCCGTTATAGCTCAGACTTCTGCCTGGAAGCTTGTGTTGTGAATAGGTAAGCGGTGATATATTTTTGTTTCCGGGTCTACAATATAGAACACCAGACCCACTTTTTCCAACGGGCATTTGCTATAATGTTCCACTTGACCAAGACATTTTATCTGGGACCAGCGTTTAAAATTTTTCGACACATTCTGTGTCTGCTATGCGATCAAGCACGTCCGATGATTATGAATAGCCTTCCAATGTGTACACTGTGCATTAATGACGTGTCCTGTAACCGTTCGCTTCGGTCTAATGTTATGAGCCATTCGGTTGTAAGTGAAGCCTCTTATCCTAAATATGTTTTAATAGGTGGAATACCTAGTAATGTTTCCAGTGCCTATATTGGAGTAATACTCATGGCACCACTTGTTAATTTGCAGTGATTTCTTGCATAAAGTAGCTAAAAACAATTAAAAATATGTCTCCAGTATGATGTTCAGCTTAGAAACTTAATCAATATTAAAGCATTCTATGTCATCAGATGGTTTCAGAAAGTTGTGGAAGGAGAATAGGACACTTATACATCTGTATACATATACTATGAAATTATACATACTACATACATATGTATGTATATTAAGATTTTATATACTTTGCGATTTGAGGAATTTTGCCACAAAAAGTGTATTCTATTATATAAAATGTTTTTAATAAAACTTTATTGAGATTATAGCTGAATATATAAAAGTATAAAAATTACTCGTATTTTCTTTTCGCCACATAAGTATGCGTGCTTTTGTTGGTATAATTAATTTCTTTAAATTGTAAAAATGTCAAAAAAGCAATTAATAACAAAATGGTTATGGCATTTAAATTGTACAGAATTCATGTATTTATGTTCAACGTGATATATTTTTTAGGATGGTACAAAAAGTTTTGTTTTATATTAAATACAATAAAATGTTGAGGAATAACAAATCGCATTTCCTCGATCTAGAACTACAAATATAAAGTTGTATTATTGGTTAGTGGTTCATAATTCATAATATGTATTATCAAAATCTCGTAGTATTCCCATCTATACGCTTTGAAATTTCCAAAATTAAATACTTCATCATACAAATAAAAATTCACCCTAATAGATATTTATTTGCAAAATGATATACACTCATTGTGTATACTTTATTTCTCTTTGTTGTTTTTTGTGTAAGGTCAGTCCGAAAATTGTGCTTGGATAAAGTACTTAAAATTTTTTTTCGGTATTATTTTTAGCATCAACATATTTGCTGAGATGTAGTGATTTTTGTTGTTGTTTGAACTTGGTGCGTTATTGATGTGTCGTGGTTTTAAATTTATACAGAAACAATCTGTTTATTTCATTAAAGAAATATGTATTTTAAAAATACAAAATAAACAACTTAAATGTATGTATGAGTATGTTTAAAAAAAAAATCATGGGTGACTAATAAAAAATAACAGGATAAATAAAAATAATTCAGAGAGGGATGACAACAAGGGATAAACCAGAAATGTAATGTATTAACAAATATGTACATCTTTATAATATAAAGATACATACTAGATTATTTTATAGTATTCTTTAAACTATTCATCGTAACAGCTTTCTTTAAATAAATTTTATAATATTTTTTCCATGATGCCATAATTTTGTTTTCATTATTTTATGCATAAAATATTGACGCTCGTTTTTAAATTCGTGCTTAAATATAATTTTATTAAATTGAATTATTTTATTATTAATGCAAATTGTTGTATTAAGTGTGAGTGTGTGCATGCAATATTTAAGTATGTTTGTATGTTGGACAGTGGAGCAATAGCTAAAATATGTGTACATGGCCGACCATATGATAATAATCAGCAGTTTAGAGTGTGATTTCATAATAAAACATTTTTGTTGAATTTGTTCTGAAACTCCACTTTCATTGCCACTGTCAGGCATTCGTCGAAGTTAGATTCAAATATCTTGGGAGTGATATTATTCCGGAATTACTTCTAGGAAACTGAGTTTCTGAAATTGAAAGTGAACACTGTTGTTTTACCTATAAACATCGTTTCTTCCATGTGATGGAGCACTCAACAGGCCCGATAGTGGCCTAGGTGTATTTCTTCGGATTGGGTGTAGTATACATCCTTTTATCAAAGTAACCTAATCTGAATTTGTTCTTAGTTCTGTTTTAATTAAGTAATTTGTTGATGAAAATCTAGTTTTCTGAAAAAGAACAGCCACGTAGTGGCTGTGGTTTAAACTCACATTCACGGGAAGAGACTGTTTGTCGGGGCAATTATTGGGTTCAGTTGACTTTGGAAATTCTTAAATCCTTTGTTACAGATCGGTTGATGAAGAAGGATTTATTATCTTGGGTATTTCGGGTATTTACCAAATACGTCTCTAGGTGCTGTTGCCAAAACCAACAGAAGCCATCTCAGTAGTATTGTTGGGCGGCTTTAAGAGGTCCAGGAATGGACTGGGGTGAGTTTTTAGATGATGAGAATGTTTTGTAGGGACACGAGCATTCCTCATAACATCAATAGGGTGTTTTCACCTGATGTTGGGTCCGCCCCTTCTATTGACTCTAACCAGTGATTTCCTTTTCCTGTCCTTCCCCAGCGGGGCTACTATGGCAAGAGATTAGATAACTCGAGTGCCACCTGATTTCTTCATTGAAGATTAAAGGGCCGATGGTAGACCGTTGTCAAGGCTACTCAGTGGATGAAAAAGACCACCGTGAAATAAGGCCCTCAGGGCAGGTGTTCACGTAAAGCACTTTGACATTCTTGTATGGGTCCAGTGAAATATTGCACCGATTTCAACCATTCAATAGACTTCGTCCCACATAGGTCTAAAAAACGTGCGTACCAAATTTCATCGCATTAGCTAGATATTTAACACCTGTACCTTGAGCACAAAGTTTGCATTAGTATATCATCGGTTCAAATCGGTTAGTGTGTAGGACTCATAGCCAGAGATGTACTTTGCTTCCTGATTCACTTGAAATTTGTTTTGGTCAGTTCTAGGATCACTGTTTAAGTTAGGATCTTCCCAAATATTAACTTGTTAATCATACTATAGAGACTGAATTATTATTATTTACTATGATATTAAAAATACATAAGTAGCTGATATTTTCAAATTATTTCAAATTTATACCACTGTATTCTACTATATTATAATAACTATTTAATTGAATGAAATTTTATTTTGAATTATACCAATTTGCTTTCATTTTTTCTGTTTCTAGTTTATTCAAGAGTGTTTATTTTTAGAATTAATACAATTCCATATCAATATGTCACGAAATAAGATTAAAATTTCCAAGCTTATACAAATGGCGAAAAGTGTGCAAAATATAATGAAATATATAAAATTCTGAATTAAATTATATATATTGCTTCTTTTTTTTTTCTTTTAAAAATAATGTAGGTCAGTGTTAACTGAAGAAGTTTAGAAAAAGAAAAATGGGTTCAGGAAAAAGAAAATCATTAAAAACATAAAAAAAGAAATGAAAAAATAAAACAGAACTTGTATTTAGTAAATGAATTAAGTTTTGGGCTTGCTCACACACACACGTTTATATACACGCACAAAGCTCATACTTTCACACACACACATACGTAGGAAAGTTTTTCAGAAAAGAAACAAACAAAAAAAAAAGAAGAACACAAAAAAGAAAGAAAATAAATAGGAAAATGTGAACATGCGACATGCTGATAAAACAAAAGCCATACATTTTCCTTTATTGGTGTTGTGGAAGTATGTATGTGTTGTATTTGTGAGAATGTTGGTGGTTCTCGTGCGACCTTCCTACTTCATTTTTACAATTTTGTTAACACAACAACAAAGCAGACGAAGAAGAAAAACCCACAAAAATTTCCCATAAAATTCAAGTATTTACAGGACATTCAAAATTGCTCCATTCTCTCACTCTCTCTCTATCGCCCGAATTTTAAAAAGTTAACGAAAGAAAGCAAAGTAAATATAACGAGAGAAATAATAAAACTAATTTGTAAATAAAATAATAAAAGAGAACTGCAAAGTGGTAAAATTTAAGACTTGGAAATGTATGAGAAGAAAAACTCTCATTGAAAAGAGAGTTTTCATGATAATAGAATTTTCCAAAATTAGCTTTTATGCTTTTGCGCTTTTATTTTTCATTTACAGTCTTGAAATCAAGAATTTAAAATCATTGCAAATAGTTCCAACGAACACGTCAGATAGTGAAAAGCGTTAGAAAAATAAATAGTAAAAAAAAAATAAAAAAAAATATATTAAAACTTAAAAGAAAAAAAAAAGGATAATAAATTGTGGTGAAACTTACTCAATTTAAAGTGTCTTAAATGTGTTGAAGTTGAATTAAAAAATTAATATAAAATAAAATTTAAAAAAAACTTTAAGTTAAAGTTTTAAAGAAGTGTAAAATAAATAATAACAAATTTCATATTTGTAAAACAATTAAATTATATGGAGTTGAACTTTGTTAGACTGAATCTAGAGCAAATAGTAATTTTGTTTGTCTTTCATAACACTTATTAAATGAAAATTTTTAAAAATTTATAATTGACTTGAAAAAAGTAATAATAAATAAACTACCACAAAAGGAATAACAAAAAACAAAGTAAGTTTTATAATTTACCTCTGCAATGCAAATAGGTACATACAAATTTTCCACCAACATTTGTGTTTCCTCTTTTTACTTTCATCTGATTCTGCCAGAGGTTGTGAATTCTTGTTGATGTTTGTTACACCCAGAAATACTGTATACTGAAACCACGTTTCGATTTTAACTGGTCAGAATTAGCTGAACAAATATTTTGCGCAAATATGACAGAATAAATTTAAAACTAATTCTTAATTAATAATTTTATAAAATTTTAAATTCTTGATGAATATTTTGAAAATTTATTAAACATTTAAAATAAAATAAGTTATTAAAATTTGCTCTGATTATTATCCGTCTCCCGCCACGTGTCAAATTATTAAATGCAAAAAATAAGTATAACCAATTATTTTCAAAATTTAGTTTAAGAAATTTTAGAAATGTAAAAATGACTTGTTGTTTAGTACAATTTGCATTATAAGCAGGGTTTCGTTGTATGTATTTTTTCAGATATTATAAAAAATATTTTTATAAAAACTTATTGTGACTGTTAGGTCACCGTATAATAATTACTAACATTATTATTTTGTTTTGTTTAAATTTTCCATTTTTTATTGTATTTAAATTTATTCATATTTTTGGCTCACTGTTGCCACTGTAATTTGTCATTATTTTTTGTTCATACTAACCACTGTACATATTTTTGGTAATGACCCGTTAGTTTTTATTATTTGTTTCTCACTCCAATTCTTATTATAAGCATATTGTTGTTGCTCTTAAAAATGCAATTTCTTATTTTGGAGACTTATTGCATGTATTTTGTTTTTGCATATTTTGAATATAAATAAACAAGTTGAGTTGGTACATTGGAAGTGAGAAACAAATAATATTACAATAACAACAGTGTAGCCCTTATTTACATGATCAATTGTTAGGCTTAAGAAAAGAATTTTTAAATAAATAAATCATTGTCATAGTTGAATTCAATCGAACAACATCATCTTTTATTCGTGTCTCGGTACCACGGTAGTTCTTTTGTGTTTGTTAATTAATCACTGCCCATCGAACATTTCAGCAACCTATAGACAACAATTCAAAGTAGACCGAATTGCTCTATATCGTTGCCGGTGAAGAAAAAGCTCTTCATCGTACATTTTTGGCGCCCAACGTGGGGCAAGTGATTAATCTAAATCTTCCTAAATTTGTCGTTCTCGGTCCGTGGTATATTCTAAAAACTTTTCGTTGTAGTACAACTTAAAAAAAAAGTGTACGGTCATATTGTGAAGTGGAAACAGTGGTTCTATTACAAGGGCAATATCTAGTGCTACAAAAAGAAAAATAAAAAACTTTGTGGTTCAATAAAAAAAAAAAAAACCTGTGCAACAAAAAAAATTTATAAATCATTTAAAAAAAACTAGACAGTGCAACATATAACAAAAAAAAAACTGTTAAACAAATTTGTAGTGACGTACCTACTACAAATCTAGTTTTTTAAATACCTATTACAAACATTATACAAATTTTGTCGGCTCGCTAAATAGAATCAGTTTTTGTCGAAAAATAAAATAAATAAAAGTGACTCTAAAATTTTACCGCAAATTTTTATGTACAAAAATAAATAAACTTTGTTCGCTCGTAATTCGGGTTAAATAAATTTACCGCTAATCTTTATATACAAGAAAATACATAAATTTGTTCGCTTTTGGTTCCAGTACATAATATAGAATTTTGTGTATACTAAATTTGTCGCTCGGAATATTGCGGTACATATTTATATAGAAAGTGAATAAATACATAAAGTCTGTATATAAACATTTTTGGCGTAAAACTTTTGGCGTCGGTGCTCTACAATACATAGTATCATCCATTTTGAAATTTGTTTTTGGAAATTTTTGGCTCACTTAACCAAACTTTTGGAAATTTATGATGACTTTGGAAGAGGTTAAGCAGCAACGGGCTAATACGAAGAAGAGTATTACCCGCATCAAGAACCAAATCGAAGCCAATGGAAGGGGTGAAGGTAAGACACTTTCGTCTGCTGAGTTGAAGTGCCGTTTGGGGATACTGGAGTCATATTTTAAACAGATATTGACGTATCAAACACAAATTGAAAAATATGATCCCGAGGATAATGCTAGGCCCGAAATTGAAGATTTGTACATCTCAGCCAAAATGAATATCCAGTCGCAGCTTGGTGAAGATGTTCATAACACAACGTTGTCCGAGTCCACCATTTGTTTCCCAGCTCCCATCCATAAATTGCCCCAACTCAAATTGCCCACATTTAGTGGTAAGTACAGTGAATACAAGAATTTTATAACGTCGTTCAATCAAGTTATCGATCGTGAGTTTGGCCTATCAAATATTGAAAAGTTTAATCATTTGCTCAACTGCCTCCAAGGCCAAGCTCTAGAAACGGTCAAGGCTTTCCAGATTACGAACGAAAATTACCCGAAGGCTCTGGAAAGGCTCAAAACGCGTTATGATAATAGCTCGCTTATTTTTATGGAAAATATTACCGCCCTTTTTGAACTTCCTACCATGTCCAAATACAATTGTGCCCAATTACGAAGTCTCGTCGATAATGTTTCTGCCCTTTATAGTTCCTTACTGTCTCTTGGCTCACATAGTGATATTGCTAATTCCATGCTGATTTACATAGTGATGGAAAAAGTGGATGAAGATACCAGAAGAAAGTGGAAAGATTCCTTGGACTTTACCAGATTGCCAACATGGGATGATTGCTCCAAGGTCCTTGAAAGGCGTTGTCAATTTTTGGAATCGGTTGATACCAACCATACTTTTGTGGCCCCTCGTAAGCCTGATCATCAATCTGGTAAGTCCAAATCTAAAAATTCAAAACCTGGCTATACTTTTTCGGTATCAAAACGCTCTTGTGTGCTTTGCTCCAAATGTGACCACTCAATTAGTCGTTGTTCTCGGTTCAAAGATATGGATGTTAGTCAAAGGTATGAAAATGCAAAACGTCTAAGCCTTTGTCTAAATTGTTTGTCCAAAGGGCATCAAGTAAGTAGTTGTTCCTCCACATTCAAGTGCAAATTTTGTTCTCGCTCGCATCATAGTTTGCTTCATCGGTCTCAGCCAGCTTCTCGGCCCTCGTCCCCTGCTGCTGAACCTACTACTTCTCATGTTGCCTTGAATGAATCTTCTGCCTCGGTCCATACCCATATGGAAAAATCCTCGCCGGAACAGGTGCTGCTTGCTACTGCCATGGTTCTAGTTCGTGACTCCACTGGTCGCTATCAATTGGGACGCGCTTTGTTAGATTCTTGCTCTCAATTGAATTTCATAACCGATGAATTTTCCCAAAAATTACATTTGTCTCGTACAAAACAAACTACTGAAGTCTCTAGCATTGGTAACACTCTTAGCAAATCTAAATATAGGTCGTCCACAAATGTAAAATCTCGAGTCACAGATTTTGAAGTTTCGCTCTCATTTTGTGTCACACCTCATATTTCATATCAACCTGATAATGAATTAGATGTCTCATCCTGGAATTTGCCCCCAAATACTGAACTTGCGGATGAAAACTTCTTCAAATCAAAACGAATTGATTTACTTATTGGTACTGAAACGTTTTTCGACATTTTAGCAGTTGGTCAAATAAAACTTGGCCCTAATTTGCCTAAATTACACAAAACACTTTTCGGATGGATTGTAGCAGGTCGTTATGTATCAAAACAACCCAATATTTGTGGCTCTTCTTGTATGCTCTCGATAGAAGAAGATATTGATCTTAAATTACAGCGCTTGTGGGAAATCGATGAAGTTCAATCTGGCTCAAATGATTTGACACCAGAACAATCTGAATGTGAAACATTTTTCAATGATACTGTTCATCGTGAATCTTCTGGTAGGATTGTTGTTAAATTGCCCTTCAAGGAATCTCCTGACGCTTTAGGTCTTTCTCGAAATATGGCTCTTAAAAGATTTGTATCTCAAGAGAGACGATTTGCTCGTGACAGCAATCTTAAATCACAATATGTTGCTTTTATGAAGGAGTATGAAGATTTTGGACATATGAGTCTAGTTCGTAGCCCTCGTCTACACGAGCCTCATTATTTCATCCCTCACCATTGCGTTTTCAAACCAAGTAGCACTTCCACAAAGTTAAGAGTTGTTTTCGATGCCTCGTGTCCATCATCGTCCCAGAAGTCTCTCAATGATCTTCTTATGGTTGGCCCAACAATTCAAGATGAGCTGTATAAAATTTTACTTCGGTTCCGTCTTCATCGCTTCGCTCTTACTGCCGATATAGTAAAAATGTATCGACAAGTCCTTATTGACTCCCAAGATAGAAAATTCCAATATATTTTGTGGAGAAATTCAGAAGAGGAAGAAATTCGAACATATCACCTAAATACAGTCACCTATGGAATGTCAGCTGCGCCCTACCTTGCCATCAAAAGCCTTCACTATCTCGCAGACCAATACATGGACCAATTCGAACTTGGTGCAAAAACCATTAAGTCATCATTTTACGTTGATGATTTTCTTTGTGGCTCAGATACGCTTGAAGAATTGTCTCGTATGAAGCAGGAGGTTAATGAAATTCTAATTCGTGGTTCGTTTCAATTAGATAAGTGGCACTCTAATCATAGAGATTTTCAGGACGACAAAACTGTCAAAGACCTTAATATTGAAGATTCTGCAGTAACTAGCGCTCTTGGTATCTCTTGGGACCAACAAAAGGATGTTTTCTTATTTTTGTTTTCGCCTAAAGTCCAAATTGATGAAAAAATAACCAAACGTACAATTTTGTCGCTCTCGTCAGCGCTTTTCGATCCCCTAGGACTTTTATCCCCTCTCATAATAAAAGCTAAAATCATTATGCAAGAGTTGTGGATTCTAAAAATTGGCTGGGATGAGTCTGTACCTCAAGAAATACACTCGGCTTGGAAATCTTTCGTCTCTGATCTCAAACTATTACCTTCACTTAAAATTCCTCGTTTTTGTCTCGCTCCTGATTCTAAATCAGTTCAACTTCATGGCTTTTGTGACTCATCAATTCGTGCTTATGGTTGTTGTTTTTACTTTCGTGTTAAAACTTCTTCAGGAAATGTTGTTGTTCGGCTCTTTACTGCCAAATCTAGAGTTGCTCCTACAAAGCGAAAATCGTTACCCAAACTTGAGTTATGTGGCGCACAACTTCTAGCAAAATTGTATTCCAAAATCAAAAATCTTTTCGCAATACCAAATCTGGAAGTCGTTCTGTGGACAGATTCGCAACTAGTTCTTCACTGGCTAAAGCAACATTCATCTACTTTGTCAGTTTTTGTTGGCAATAGGGTATCAGAAATTCAAGATCTAACTAATGGCTGCGTTTGGCGACATGTCCCAACCCAGTTCAACCCTGCTGACATCGTTTCTCGTGGTTCAACTGTGCAGGAACTCGCCTCATCCATCTGGTTCAACGGACCAGCATTTCTCGCTCTCGATCCTGTTCAGTGGCCCCCTACTAAAACTGATAAACTCTCCGAAGAAAATCAGCAAGTATTCGACAAAGAAAAACGGAAAACCGTACTTCATCTTGAAACAAAATCTAACTACATCCTCGATTCTGTTGGAAAATATAGCTCGTACTTAAAAATCATTCGTATTATTGCCTGGATGTTTCGTTTTGCTCAAAAAACAAAAACTAATATTTCCAATTCTGACTCTTTGCAGCCCCAAGAATTAGAAAATGCTAAACTTTGTATCGTTTTCAACATCCAGAAACTACATTTTCAAGATGACATAACTCGAGCTCTAAAGAAGAAAGATCCCCAAGGTGCTCTAAAGTGTCTGAACCCCTTCCCAGATTCGTCAAATGGTTTCAACTTGCTCAAGGTCGGCGGACGCTTGGAGTACGCGGCAATTTCTGAAGGCCAAAAACACCCCATAATCTTGCCCAGCAAATGCCATTTCGTCTACTGTTACGTACGTCATCTGCACATCAGTAACTACCACGCTGGACCCAAGGCTCTAATGTCATTGATTCGCCAACAATTTTGGATCATCAACTCCAGGAATTTGTGTCGCAGCATTGTAAATTCGTGCCCTCAATGCATTCGCTATCGCCCAAAGTTGTTGCAACAAATGATGGGAAATTTGCCTGTGGAACGACTCAACCCGTCAAGGCCCTTCGCAAGGTGTGCTGTCGATTTTTGTGGTCCAGTCAACACCTACCTAAGAATTAGAGGAAAGGTCCCCTACAAGACATACATCGCTATATTTGTTTGTCTCGCTACCAAAGCTGTCCATATTGAAGTGGTATCCGACCTGTCAACAGATGCCTTCATTGCTTCCCTAAAACGGATGATTGGTCGTAGAGGTCTGCCCACAGATATATTCTGTGATAATGCAACAAATTTCGTTGGTGCAAACTCTAAGTTGGCTCAATTAAAGTCGTTCCTTTTTGAGCCAAAAAATTCAAATTTTATTACAAATTATTGCTCGAATCAATTTATTAATTTTCGATTTATTCCCCCTAGGGCACCACATTTTGGCGGATTGTGGGAGGCGGCCGTCAAATCGGCCAAAGGTCACTTAACCAGAACCCTGGACAACACAAGGCTCACCTACGAAGAACTCGCAACGGCTATGATTGAGATAGAGGCAGTTTTAAACTCGAGGCCCATTTCGCCTCTATCCTCAGATCCCAGTGATTTTGAAGCTCTTACACCAGGACACTTCTTGATAGGCGCTCCCCTCCGTAGTTTGCCAGAACGTGATGTCCCTACAAATGAGATTAACAAACTTGAATATTGGGCCCGAATAAGCGCCATCAAGCAACAATTCTGGAAAAAGTGGTCCCATGATTATATAAATGAGCTCCAGACTCGCAACAAATGGACTAGCACCAACTCTAATATTACCCCTGGTTCCCTAGTCATCATCAAAGAAGATAATTTACCCCCGCAGCGTTGGCTCATGGGTAAAATCATCAACATTGTTCGTGGAAGAGATGATCGTGTTCGAGTTGTCGACATCAAAACTACAAAAGGAGTTATACGTCGCCCTATCCACAGACTGGCTCTTCTATCTTCTTGAAAGTGTCCTTTCAATGGGGCCGGAATGTTAGGTCACCGTATAATAATTACTAACATTATTATTTTGTTTTGTTTAAATTTTCCATTTTTTATTGTATTTAAATTTATTCATATTTTTGGCTCACTGTTGCCACTGTAATTTGTCATTATTTTTTGTTCATACTAACCACTGTACATATTTTTGGTAATGACCCGTTAGTTTTTATTATTTGTTTCTCACTCCAATTCTTATTATAAGCATATTGTTGTTGCTCTTAAAAATGCAATTTCTTATTTTGGAGACTTATTGCATGTATTTTGTTTTTGCATATTTTGAATATAAATAAACAAGTTGAGTTGGTACATTGGAAGTGAGAAACAAATAATATTACAATAACAACAGTGTAGCCCTTATTTACATGATCAATTGTTAGGCTTAAGAAAAGAATTTTTAAATAAATAAATCATTGTCATAGTTGAATTCAATCGAACAACATCATCTTTTATTCGTGTCTCGGTACCACGGTAGTTCTTTTGTGTTTGTTAATTAATCACTGCCCATCGAACATTTCAGCAACCTATAGACAACAATTCAAAGTAGACCGAATTGCTCTATATCGTTGCCGGTGAAGAAAAAGCTCTTCATCGTACAGTGACATATAAATGAAAATTAAATTAAAAATCCAAAAGAAAAAATTGTGAGCTTTGAAAAATACTATGGCAAACCCTGCTGTGATAGAGAAATTCTCAGAACAGATTCGGAATCAGCGTAACTCATTCTTTTAGAAATGTGCAACTTGATCTCTGGGTTTCTACTTTTTTTTAATTGTTGGACTCTGATAACAGAGTTTCACTTTCTGTAATACAAAATTTTAGAGAGATTTTGGTTTTTATAAAACTTTTACTATATTGGTATTTTTAAGCCAATTTTAAAAGTTAAGGTTAGACTAGGTTAGTTTGATAGGAGTATATATACTACATCAAATCCGAAGAAATACACCTGGGCCTGTTTTGAGCTCCTTTTGATGAACAAATTAAAGAAATTGTTCTCTGAATGTATTATTTTTCAATGTTCTTAGGACGAAATTCCTTAGAATTTTCAAAGATTCTTTGATCTAACTTCTGAAAGAAACTATCCTTTCCACATGCTCTACATTAGTCTGAATCCGCACGTCAAATTTTATATATATATGTGTTCCAAATCCACTCAGAATACTTACCATCATACTAACCTCAAAGTTGCTCATTTTGAGGAGATTTCACGTCTGCTCTCATCAGGGTCACCCCATAGGATCTTTGTGGTTCTACCCACCGTTTCACCCATATTTTTAATTCAGCTTTTATTGCGTCGAAAGGTTTTGCGTTCGTCAGGATAACTACCTCAAGCTCCCTTCCCTTTGAACCTATTATATTCGCCTATTTACATTCATATCGCCCAGCACCGATGTGTCTTATTGATCCAATCCTCTATGTGGTGTCTCCATTTTAATTTCCGGTCAAGGATTACACCTAAGTACTTAACTTTGCCTGTCACCGGTATCTTCTTGACCAGCAAGCAAGGTTCAGTATACATAGACATTTTTGGCTTTCTTGTAAAAAGACAGATTTCCGTCTTCGCCGGGTAAGAGCCTTCTCAGCTCTTTTACACAAGTAATTTGGATCCTTTCCCTTTAAAAGGATTACGACATCGTCTTCATAGCAGACAGGTCTAAGTCCTTTCTCGGTTAAGGTCCTTCGAAGGCTATTAATCGTAGTAACCCAGAGTAAAGGTGACAAAACGCCACCCTGTGGTATACCGCGAAATGCCTTTTTGCTGATAGTTATATCGGACATCTCGCAGCTTATCCATCTATTCCTTAGCAGGTATTTGATCCAGTTATTGAAGGCGCCTTCGATGTCAATGCATTCGCCAGTGTATACAGTTTGCTATCTAAGGTATAAATATTACCATTGCATGCTGCCATTTATCTGGTGTATATGTAAATTTCAAGCATGCAGTGAATATCTGAGACAGATGTACGGAAACCAGTTCCGCCTCCATCTGCAAAAGTGCGGGAAAATGCCATCCGGCCCTTCCCTTTAACCATATCAGATGTTATAACTATTTCCGTCTTAGCCTCCCCTTCCACCAATATCGGTTCCTCTATGTTATTCGATATACCGGGTGGGAAATGAGGAGTTTCGTTTTCTCCTCCACCTTCTCCAGCCTCCTGCCAGTGTAATCGACCATATACTGCGGTTGGCCCAGGGTTTCTCCTGGACCAGTAATAAGCGTTAAAGTAATTTTCTGAAGGGGACCTTATATGGGGGGTAGGGTCAATTATGGACCGATCCTCATTAAATTTGGCAGGGAGTTTTTGGCTCATATAAAACTTATTTATGTTGAATTTCATCGCCATAGTTACACTTTTAGAACATATATGCCCGTTAAGGCAGTTTTTCGGGGGTCCACTTGTATGGGGGCTATCCGAAAACGTGGACCAATATAGCCCATTTTCAATACGAAGCAAACCTTACCTATAGAGAATATTTCAAGCCTCTAGCTCATTCCGTTCGGACTCTATAGTGTTTCAAAAGACAGACAGACGGACGGACATGGCTAGATCGTCTTGGAATTTAATAAGGACCCAGAATATATATACTTTTGTGGGTCTATGACGAATATTTCGATGTGTTACAAACGGAATGACAAAATCAAAAAAGATGGTGGGTATATTGACAGTTTTTCACGATTCATATGGTAATACATATATGGTCTGTGAGCTGTATTTGAAGGTGTTACACACTGTGTGAAAAAGTAAAAATTATGAAATTTTCAACTCTAAAATTAAAAATGATTGATGGGAATGTATGTAAAAAATAAATTCTTGATTACCGTCTCAGTTATATGTGTAAGCAATTTAGTTTTGATAACATTATTATATGATAACATCGCAATACATAATAACTAGCAAAAAAGTGGCGACAACAATCAGTATATATTTATTTAAAATAATCGTCAAATATTTGATCAATATGAATATACATAGCTTAAAGGTTATTTCAATACACCATTGACGTGTCATTATTTCAAAGATACAATATTTATCCATCATTTTTTTACCACTGAATGCATTGCATTTCTATGTTTGTATGTTGAGGACATCCCCAGGGTATTGGTATATAATGAGCCATTAATGCTCAATTTAATTTTGTGTAATAATTAAATACTTTATTTTCCATTAATAAAACTTTAGTAAATACCTGAAGAGTATTTCTTTGTGTTACGTTTAAAAGTTGATTACGTTGATTAAAGTGCAAAAAGATTCATATAATAATAATAATAGTATATAATAATATTATATATTATAACACCGTACAACAGTGATTTTCAACATCTCTCAGTTTTTTATAATTAACTCTTATGCCTCTGTAATAAGACCTTAGATTTTTATTATTTTTAGATTTTTTCATATTTCTGTATACAAATTTAGTATCGCATGAAAGATCTTTGAGAGACGATAAAATATTGTAATTTTTTAGAAAAATTTTAGGTTTTTAAACTTTTTACATAGAATTATTTAATATAATTAATTGAAATTATTGTATTATAAAGCTCATATAAATTTACTGAAACGGTTTTTTTCTGTTTTTCGAAATTTGATTTTATTGAAACTTTTTTTAAATCCTTTTTTCTCAGCTATATTACGTTAGCTATATTTATCTAACATACAAAATATATACAAGGTTATATTCAACTATGTTTCTAATTTATACCCTATATAAGTTTGTCATTCCGTGTGTAACATTGAGAAATATTATTGGTCGATTTAGCTATGTCCGTCCGTCTGTCTATGTAAAATAGGCTCACGTAAAAATAAAGCAAAAGAAATTAACAAAATGTATTTAAAATATTTCCTATTGTCCTGGGCAGTTTGGTATTAAAAATCAGCAAAATTAAAAAAAAAAAAAAAATCCTGCAATTTTTACAAAAACTATTCAATACATTTCCAAGAAAATAATCACAAATTTGCTTTTTGTTGTTAATAATTATGAAATCAAATAGTATTTAGTCTATAAATATTTGTCTGTCTTTCCTTACAAACGTATTTCCAAACTTCAAACCTAATGGGTCGGCTTTGTTAAGATATCCTATATATGTACATATATTTGTTTTTCAATCTTGGTAAACATATATTGATTTTGTCATTCCGTTTGTAACACATCGAAATAGACCCACAAAAGTATATATATAAGGCTATCTAGCCATGTCCATCCGTCCGTCTGTCTGTTGAAGACACGATAGAGTCCGATCGGGATGAGCTAGAGGGTTGAAATTTTCCACAAATATTCTCTATATGTAAGGTTTGTTTCTCGATCCAGGTTTTCGGATAGCCCCATACAATTGGACCCCATAAAAACAGCCTTAACGGACTGTGTTAGTATAGCAATGAAATTCAACATAAATAAGTTTCATATGAGCCAAAATCTCCGTATTAAATTTTATGAGGATCGGTCCATAATTGACCCTACCCCCTATATAAGGCCCCCTTCAGAAAATGATATTAACGCTAATTGCTGGCTTAAAAATACGAGTATAGCGATGAAATTTGACATAAGTAAGTGCCTTGCTAGCCAAAATATCTCTACCATATTTCATGTGGGCGGTCCATAATTGACCCTGCCCATTATATAAGGTTCCCTTTATAAAATGACTTTAACTCTCAATACTGGATTGAAAATACGAATATAGCGATGAAATTGGACATAAGTAAGTCACTTTCAAGCCAAAATCTCTTTACCAAATTTTATGTTGATCAGTTCATAATTGACCCTACCCCCCTTATAAGCTCCCCACCAGAAAATTACTCTAACGCTCATTACTGGCTTAAAAGTACAAGTATGGAGATGAAATAATAACAAAGTTTCTTATGAGACAAAACCTCTCTACTGACTTTTTTGAGAATCACCATATCCGGGCTGGGTCAAACCCCCATATCATCTCCCCTTTAGAAAATGACTTTAAAGATCATTACTAAAAAATATGAAAAATTTGGAAATAATTTTGGATAAGGCCTACCAATGACAGAGGAAGTGTTCCAGAGTTTCATTATTCTATAATGTATACATGTGCCGTAATCCTGTGTAACCCTGTATCATCAAACAAATCTTATAGATTCCTAGGAGGCTTCTGCTCCTCTCGTTTGAGTCACTCTTTAGAATCTTTGTGTTCTCATTTTTATTTCAAGCGGTCAAGTGGTTTTTCATTCCCCAGGTTAACTTCCTCCTTCTTTTTATGGTATATAAATTTGCTCTGTCATTGTCGATTCTTCCTGAGTATTAAATGATCCAAAAATATATTAATTCAAGTCAACGAAGTAGTAAGAAATTTGGGGAAAATAATGAGTAAAACGCATACATGACTCCTTGTAATACTGCCGGATTTTTTAGCTGCTGTTATATTTCTCAGCATTTTCCAAATTTTAATATCGATGTTTCATTTTTATAGTTTCATTGTCAAGTTTATTTAGCACTTAAAATTTTAAACTCTTATTGGTTTTTCTTTGTTTTGTTTTATTTAATTTTTTTTTTCAACTTTTTTACCATTTTCATTGTATGGTGTTTTTATTATTATGGTGTAGAATTTTCATTTTTTTTAAAACGTTCATTCTCCAGACGGAATAAATTTTGTTATGGATACAGAACAAAATAAAAAAAGTATAAAACAAAAAGATAAAAAGTTCATTGAATACAAACACGAGGAATAAATTTGAATAAAATTATTATTTTTTGTTTTTTTTTTTTTTTTTTTGGAATGTATTGTGGTAGTGTTTAGAAAACCCCAGAAAAAGTAATAATTATTCATAATTTTGTATTCTTTTTTTTATTTTACAGAATCTCTTCAACGGAATAATACGGTGAAATTTCATAAGAAACAAATAACAACAAAGGAAACAGGAAGTCCTTATAAATAATAAATATAATTAAAAAAAACTGTATTCATAAACTCATATTTATATTCTTGTTGATAACGTTAAAAAGTGATAAAAATTTATTATACGTTCTTAAGCTAAATATTAAACTACTGCTACTATTTACCCCACTTTGCTCCTTTGATCCGCTCGCTTAAATCAACATAACTAAAAAATATAATAAAAGCATCCTTGTAAAATCAACTTAAAACAGTTTTTAATAATTAAAACGCTTATAAGCTGAAAAGAAAAAAAATTAAAATAATAATAAAGTCTAGTTAAAAATTTAAACACATACAAATAAAATACGTATAAACAAATTTCAAATAATAAATTTAAAAATAAAAATTAATAATATCTAGAAAAAAAGTTAATGGAAAACATAAATACAACAAAATATTCATATAAATATTATTAATTCATTTATTTGGCTGCTCAAACTAAATGTTCATCGCAAAAACTTGTGCATAAATTTAGGTAAGTTGTTTATAAGAAATTTTTATATTTAGTGTCGACATTAGTAGGTTTCGAGTGTGCCAAATTTGGGTGACATTTATTAAAGTTGATAAAATGGCGAGTTTTCGATCTCGACAGATCTAAAGTTTTTCATTCATATTTAGGCCTAAGAAATTTTTTAAAGCACAGCAAACTTTTTGAAAAATAGCACTTGTAATAAATTTAGAATAAAATTTTGTGAAAATATTTTAAGAAGATTCAAAATCGGTCAATGGCAGACCAAGCACTATGTACATTAGAGCGTCCCGAGGAACATCCTTTTTAAGAATCTCATGTAGGAATACCTATCAATGGATGTGTAATAATGTACTGAACACGACGCAAATATTTTTTTAAAGTTTCTCAGTTCCTTACCAGCGATTGGAAATCTTGATCTCAGTTAAAATCTTGATCATATAGTTGGTTACTGGAAAAATAATTAAATTATTTAGAGTACTTTTGGTCCCCAAAATGATTTTTAGGGGGCTTCGCTTTTTATCGGAATAGGTGTCCATTTCAAATTTTTTTTGGATTATTATGGAATTTATAAGCCCCTTAAAAGGCCAGGATACTCTAACAAAACAATAAAATCAAAATTACGAAATTATTAAGACTCATTGCAAAAACAAATTGTTTGAATATAATATATTGTACTGAGATCAAGATTTTCAATAGCTGATACGGAACTGAGGCCCTTTTCAAAAAAATATTTTTAATTTTTCTCATACATCATCATCATTTTAGTGGCATTCCTAGAAAAAAGTGCTCCACGGGACACTCTTGTATACTATGTACATATTTATGTGTTAAAGTAATTTCCCTGCATTATTGGAATACAAAATCCATTTACAAGATCCCAAAACTACTCTCTTGTAAACATTATTGGAGTACATGTAGTCCTATATTATGCAGGCATGGATTACATGGGACCATGTTGCAGATCATGTACTCCCAGAATTTAAGCACCTAAGTAGTTTTGGGATTACTCTGAATGAATGGATTACATGGTCCTCACCTAGGACATCACAACGATAAATGGTGTATGTTTTTTCCTTTAGTCCATTGAGGAGTACTCTTTACACACGTGTGTGGAGTAGTTTCAATTATTGCAGGGTTATATAATCTATGAGAAAAAGTGCAGGTAAAAATAATAGAAATAGTGTTTTTTAAATTTTTTAAAACTTTAAGATAATTTTTAATGATAATAAATAGATTAGGTTAGGTTGATAGGAGGATGTATAGTACATCAAATCCGAAGAAATACACGTAGGACATTATCGGAACTGTTGTACGATCCTTTTCCTGAAAAAAATTCGTCTGAATCCGCACGGCCAATTTTGTATAGATATGCACGTAATCCTGTGTGTTCACCCAGAATAGGTACCATCATACTAACTTCAAACTTGCTCATTTTGAGAAGATTTCTCGTCTTGTTCTCATCAAACGCAAAATCATCGAATGGTTTTGCATTTGTCAGGTTAACTCCCTCGAGCTCCCTTCCCATTAAAGCTATTTCATTCGCCCTTTCGTTGCCGACTACTCCCGAGTGGTCTGGTACCTATATGATGATTTTGGAAATAAAAATAGTATTTTTGCTCTGATGTTTCATATTAAGGTTTAGGAGACCATAAAATTAACTAAATGTAAAATTAGTTTTTGAACCTACCGATCTGTCGAAAAGAACTAAAAGTATATTTATTTATAAATATATTTTTTAAAAACTTTTCTATTTTTACAGCTACTTAAATAAACATGAATTTATGTTTATGGTAAAAGTTTAATGTCGAAACCTCTTTGTCGTAGCTATTTTTATAAAAATAGTTTGCTATTTTTAAATTAGCGCGGTTAGAGAATGAAATACAATAACAGACATATACACTCTGCAAAATTCACATACAAATATGTATATAGCATAAGCAAACGTAACGAAAATTAAATATACATAATTATATGTATCTGTCTTATATAAGGACAAACATGTACATATGTATATATAGATATGTACATAGTACTATTATGTATGTATGTATATGTCGTATACCCGCATTTATCTTGTAAGCATTGAGTCATGATAACAACTCATAAAATTATTTTTTTTTTTATATTTGTTGGTTTTTATGTAGTTGCTGTTTTTCTGCCTTTTTATGACAAAATGAGCAAAAAAAAAATAAAACAACAAACATTATTTTAGAAAATAAAATAAAAAAAGAAACAAACAACAGGAAAAAAATAAGAACAATTTTCTTTATTTTTTTCGTTTTGTTTCTGAATGTGTATTGCATGGATGTCTGAACATCCGCAAAAGAAAAATTACACAAATACAGAGACACAGACACTACAGCACTAAGATATAAAAGTATCTATAGTAAAATGGAGCCTATAATTCATCACTTTGTTACAAATACTGAGACAATTTGGTCACTCAACCGCACCGAACACAGAGAAATAAAACCAAAATAAGGAGACGTATTAGAAAAAAAAGTGGATAAAATAGGAGACAATCATTCGCTTCACTCAACGTAACAAACGACTACGCCTTTATGGTGTAATGGGTAAAAATGTGTATTCATAAGTGATGGTTAAAAGCGAGTATTCGATTCACAAATGTATGTAATTCCATACTGAATTTAGGTTTAAGTATATTCAATTGCGACATAATCTTGCAAAGATATATGTATGTACATTTCCCTAAAAGCTCCTTAAAACATAGCAGTATATCTAAATCTATATTTTGGTGAGAATGCACTGCTTTAGGATCCAAGTCTAATATTAGACGTATGGCCAATAAGAGTTAGAACAACTTCACAAAAAAAGGGGCGGTTATATCATGTCCACGCCTACTTCTTGTGTTATTACTAATTTTGGTATTCTTGAGTACAATAAAAAGCAATAACTTAAAAACAAACAAACTGAATCAACCCTTATAAGATCTGAATGCTTTAAAGAAGTAGGCGTAGTTATAATAAGGAATGTTTAAAAGTGGGCGTGGTTAAGAAAATATTTTAGTTATATTTGTTAAATGCTGATTTTAGTAAACCTTTTGCTTTAAACAGTGATCAAAAGAGAATTTTCAAGTCACGTAAATCAAAACCAGCAAATAAAGTGGGCGCGGCAATGATATTACCGCCCACATTTTTTGTAGGGTTATGACTAAGTTTATGTCAAGTATGTGCATTAGATTTAAGATAATGTCTATAAAATTGAAAAGATATTCAACCTTTAAAGGCTGAAAATGTCGCTTCCAGACGTTTTTACTAATAGCTCTAAAATTATCGGAGTTGCAAAAGGTCGCAAAAGTTAGCTTTTGAAATACATACTACAGATATTAGCAAATGCACCACATATATAGTCCGACCATCACATCGGACCAATTTCAAAAAGATTAAAAATTACTAATTATTAGTAGTGTTATAAAAATCTAAGAAAAATATCACTTAATATAATATTTTCCATAAATATTTTATAATTTTTAATCCTTGATTAGTACACTTTTATATGTAATTTAAATTGTGTAAATATCTAATGGCATATAGAAGTTATTCACTTTTGTACATAATATTCTTTGACCTATATTAGTAACCAGAAAAATTTAGTTTTGAAAGTGAAACTTTGGAGTCAAGTTTCTTTGTTAGCGAACACCTTATCTGATTTTTTCCGATTTTTTATACTACTTAGGACTTATATATAAAAATCGCCAAAATTTTTGTTTGACTTGGAACTGAGGGTATTTTCAAAGAAAATATTTATACCCTACACCACTTTAGTAGGGAGAGTATATTGGGTTTGTGCTGATGTATGTAACGCATTGAAATATTAGCTCTATACCCACCTTAAAGTATACACAGAGGGAAAAAGAAATATACACGCCTGGTACCATATTGACACCAAACTGTTTATAATTCGTTGTCAAAGTATATAATTATGTACGACAACTCTATGTAATGTTGACAACATTGCAACAATTCTTTGTCGAAATCTAAATTTTATACACATCCGTTGTCTAAATGTTAACAAACGGGGTAAGCTCACTATTGACAAACAATCCATTGCCAAAAGTGAGCTTACCACGTTTGTTAACATTTAGACAACGGATGTGTATAAAATTTAGATTTCGACAACGATTTGTTGCAATGTTAATAACGTTGCGTTGTCAACATTATATAGTGTTGTCGTACGTATGTATATACATTGACAACGGAAGTTATTGAAAAATTATAAACTCTTTGGTGTCAATTACCGTATATATTTCCTTAGGCGCGTATATTTCCTTTTCCCTCTGTGTACCAATCGGCTCAGAATCAGTATCTGAATCCTTTTAGCTATATCTGTCCGTCTGTCAAACTACAGGTCGCAATTTTGATGAAATTTGACACAAAGGCCCGACTATACATTCTTACTTGTTTTAAATATTTTGGTATTTAGTACATTAATAACCATTAAAAATGTGTTTCACTGGACGTCCTACTGTCCATATAAAGCTTGTGCACAAGGTACAAAGTCTCATCTTTGAAGATTTTACTATTTAATAATGTCGCTCTAATCAATGGTTCATATGCAGATGAAGATGTTGAAATTTTAACGAAATGATCGAAAAACCTTCTAAAAAGATATGATATCACAAATTTCAAAAATTTCGTGTTAAATACACACATAGATTTTATCTACCTATTATAAAACTAATTTTTTCAAAAGTTTATTACGACTATTGTCACCAGTAACTCTATATTGGTTTTATTATAGAAAAGTTTGTAACATAAAATTTAATTTCCAAAAAAAAAAATGTTTTTCTCATTTTATATACAAAAAGATGTTACCCAAATGTGTATGAAACTTAAACAAATATGAACTTTAAAAAGTTATAGACTTTTTACAAAGAAATATTATAATAAGGAGACAGTAGGAAGAAATGCTTTTACAGTTGTAATTTTATTATTACACAAATTCTATCTGTTTCTTTGTTTGTGTGTAGCATCTAATACAAA